TTTATTGATTTTTTACAGAGAGGAAGGGAGAGAGATAGAGAGTTAGAAACATCGATCAGCTGCCTCCTGCACATCTACTGGGGATGTGCCCGCAACCCAGGCACACGCCCCCGACCGGAATCGAACCCGGGACCCTTCAGTCCGCAGGCCGACGCTCTATCCACTGAGCCAAACCGGTTTCGGCTACAAGAGTCCTTTTTTGATAATTTAATATTAAAGTTTTCAATGTTTTAACTTTTGATATTTCAATTTAAGTTGGCATTTTCAATTTCCTATGTATCTGAGAATTACTTTTTAATATTGGAGAATTAAACTTAATAGACTTTAGAAGTCACAAAGTGAAGACAAGCTTGACTATTTTATGATAATTTAAATAATATAAAAATGTACTATTTTAATGATGCAGTTTTAAGGAATTTCAAATGTATACCTCTTTTTATTTCCCCTTTATGGGAGTCCTACAGAGAACCTCATGCTATTTTTGCCTTAATCCAAATCAGGTTATAATTTATTACAATTTTGTTAATTAACATTTTGTGGTATTATATTTTGAATATTTAAATAACAGTGCCATCTGGTGGTTATTTTGAATGTTTTCATTTCTCGGGTGTGCATTTAAAAATGTAATTGCATGTGAATATCCAGTAGCTGGTAACAGATGTTTAACTTTTTGAGGAATTGAAAGCTGTTTTCCAAAGTGGCTGTGCCATTTTACATCCCCATCAGCCATGTAAGAAGGTTACAATTTCTCTACATCCTGGCCAACACTTATTTTCCTTTTTTTTCTATTATAACTATCATACTGGGTGTAAAGTGAAATCTCATTTTGAATTTGATTTGAATTTCCCTAATAATTAATGATGTTGAGCATCTTTTAATGTACTTGCTGGCCATTTGTATGACTTCTTTGGAGAAAGGTCTACTCAGATCCTTTGCTCATTTTTCGATTGGGTTCATCTTTTTGTTGCTGAGTTAAGAGTTCTTTATATATTCTGGATACTAGACTTTATCAGATATTTGATTTGAAAATATTTTCTCCATTCTATACTCACTTTCTTGAGTATAGTTTTTTTTTAATGACAGTCCTTATCAATAATCTTTCTAAAACACTTCATATTTACAACTACAGGCCCGGTGCATGAAATTCGTGCACAGGTAGGGTCCCTAGGCCTAGCCAGTGATCAGGGCTAATCTATGGGGAGACCGGTGGGTGATTGGGGGGCCCCTGCTGGCACTTGCCTTGGCCAGCCTGGTGCCGCCCAGTCGCCTCCCTCTGTGGGGCAATGGCGGGGGGGGTGGGGTGGGGGGGTCTGCTTGCACCTGCCTTGGCTGGCCTGGGGCCTGCAGGCTGGGGGCAGCTCCTGCGTTGAGCATCTTCCCCCTGGTGGTCAGTGCGTGTCATAGCGACCGGTCGTTTGACAGTTGTTTCACCATTTGGTCAATTTGCATATTAGGCTTTTATTATATAGGATATAGGATAGTCTAAAGTACACATTGGCTACTCCTCATTCCTCCCACATAGACAGAGACCTTTGTCTTTTTTGCCCTGCCTGTAGCTCCAGTGACCAGCACATAGCAGGAGCTAATATCTGTTGAATAAGAAAATTCCTCCCGAGCATCTAAACACCATATCATGGATTGTAAATTCAAATGTCTATAGGGGACTGGCAAGTGATATAAATGAGTAAATAGAGCTCTTCAGGGAGTCTCCAGGCTGGTTTCTCTAACTAGTCCCAGAAAGAACTTAATCATCCTGTTCTACCATTTCACAATACAAAGCAATTTCTTCATGTCTACCTAAATATATGCCAGTCTTTAGTTCATTAGGGTAGCTGAGTCATGTCCAAGATGTACTACCAAAAGCAATATTGGATCACAGAATTAACCTTATTGCGTCACTGAGTTTGGAGATTGCCTCGATTAGATATCGGCTAAGAGTAAAAAAATCAGAGTTAACTGAATTCTTTGGTGTGACTATTGCAAAGAGCTCTGATCCAGAAGCTGCCCCCCACCAGTGCCATCTACAGCCCCGCGAGGTCAGACCGGCTTTAGTCCAGATTCCGTGGGAGTCCACATGCGACACTCGCTGGCTTCGGACCTAAAGTATCTGCAGGGAAAATCGTTCCTGAGGGCAGCCTCCGAGGGAGGGTGGGCAGCCGGACAGACGCCCAGGTTTGCATATGGCAGGAGATAAGTCCGAGAGGCAAAGCATTCCCAGGGCAGAATCAAGGTCCTAAAGCTCGACTCAAACGGAGACCCCGCTGGCAAAGGAACGCAGCCCCGTGACCAGGAGTCCATAATGGGCCGTATGCAGCAGGTGACGCGCCCAGCGATCTACGCGCGGGCTGGAGACCGATTGTCACTGTAGAGCCCGCGAGAGGGGCGGGGCATGGTGGTCTCCCACGGCGCTTGCGCAGAGAGCGGGTTTCCAGGGCCAGGTAAGGGGAAGTGGTAACCAGCGCCGAGCGGGCCCATTGCGTGCGCAAGCGCACTCAGCAACGTCCGGCTTCCGGTACCCCGTCCTCGCAGACCTCGGGGCGGGGCCTCGGGGCGGGGCCTGGGGCGGGACTAAATGCGGAGGAAAGGACAGCCTGTCACTACACACTCGCTGCCGTTGCTGTCGCCCCCGATTCCGAACTGCAGCGAAAGTCATGTTACCCAATACCGGGTAAGGGGATGGGGAGCCGCGGGGAAAGACCGGGCCGCGCGGAGTGCGCCTTAGTGGATGGCCCGAGGGCCCGGCGGCGGCCGCGGTGGTGGGAGGGTTTATGAAGCTGCCCGTCGCGCTCCGGAATGCTGGATCGCGCTGGACCCAGTGTTCCTAGAATTGCGATAACGCTTGAAAAGTAACCCAAAGTTGTGTACTTCAGGGTGGCAGCTATATATATAAACTTTTTCCGCAGGTAAAGTGTCCTGAGTGGGTTCCCCGCCGCCCGTAGGGCCGGCCCCATCTTGGCTTGAGCAATAGCTGAAGGCATGAAAGTTTTAGGTGAAAGGTCATTGGCACACTTGTGCGCCCTATTGATTTTTTACAGAGAGGAAGGGAGAGAGATAGAGAGTTAGAAACATCGATCAGCTGCCTCCTGCACATCTACTGGGGATGTGCCCGCAACCCAGGCACACGCCCCCGACCGGAATCGAACCCGGGACCCTTCAGTCCGCAGGCCGACGCTCTATCCACTGAGCCAAACCGGTTTCGGCTACAAGAGTCCTTTTTTGATAATTTAATATTAAAGTTTTCAATGTTTTAACTTTTGATATTTCAATTTAAGTTGGCATTTTCAATTTCCTATGTATCTGAGAATTACTTTTTAATATTGGAGAATTAAACTTAATAGACTTTAGAAGTCACAAAGTGAAGACAAGCTTGACTATTTTATGATAATTTAAATAATATAAAAATGTACTATTTTAATGATGCAGTTTTAAGGAATTTCAAATGTATACCTCTTTTTATTTCCCCTTTATGGGAGTCCTACAGAGAACCTCATGCTATTTTTGCCTTAATCCAAATCAGGTTATAATTTATTACAATTTTGTTAATTAACATTTTGTGGTATTATATTTTGAATATTTAAATAACAGTGCCATCTGGTGGTTATTTTGAATGTTTTCATTTCTCGGGTGTGCATTTAAAAATGTAATTGCATGTGAATATCCAGTAGCTGGTAACAGATGTTTAACTTTTTGAGGAATTGAAAGCTGTTTTCCAAAGTGGCTGTGCCATTTTACATCCCCATCAGCCATGTAAGAAGGTTACAATTTCTCTACATCCTGGCCAACACTTATTTTCCTTTTTTTTCTATTATAACTATCATACTGGGTGTAAAGTGAAATCTCATTTTGAATTTGATTTGAATTTCCCTAATAATTAATGATGTTGAGCATCTTTTAATGTACTTGCTGGCCATTTGTATGACTTCTTTGGAGAAAGGTCTACTCAGATCCTTTGCTCATTTTTCGATTGGGTTCATCTTTTTGTTGCTGAGTTAAGAGTTCTTTATATATTCTGGATACTAGACTTTATCAGATATTTGATTTGAAAATATTTTCTCCATTCTATACTCACTTTCTTGAGTATAGTTTTTTTTTAATGACAGTCCTTATCAATAATCTTTCTAAAACACTTCATATTTACAACTACAGGCCCGGTGCATGAAATTCGTGCACAGGTAGGGTCCCTAGGCCTAGCCAGTGATCAGGGCTAATCTATGGGGAGACCGGTGGGTGATTGGGGGGCCCCTGCTGGCACTTGCCTTGGCCAGCCTGGTGCCGCCCAGTCGCCTCCCTCTGTGGGGCAATGGCGGGGGGTGTGGGGTGGGGGGGTCTGCTTGCACCTGCCTTGGCTGGCCTGGGGCCTGCAGGCTGGGGGCAGCTCCTGCGTTGAGCATCTTCCCCCTGGTGGTCAGTGCGTGTCATAGCGACCGGTCGTTTGACAGTTGTTTCACCATTTGGTCAATTTGCATATTAGGCTTTTATTATATAGGATATAGGATAGTCTAAAGTACACATTGGCTACTCCTCATTCCTCCCACATAGACAGAGACCTTTGTCTTTTTTGCCCTGCCTGTAGCTCCAGTGACCAGCACATAGCAGGAGCTAATATCTGTTGAATAAGAAAATTCCTCCCGAGCATCTAAACACCATATCATGGATTGTAAATTCAAATGTCTATAGGGGACTGGCAAGTGATATAAATGAGTAAATAGAGCTCTTCAGGGAGTCTCCAGGCTGGTTTCTCTAACTAGTCCCAGAAAGAACTTAATCATCCTGTTCTACCATTTCACAATACAAAGCAATTTCTTCATGTCTACCTAAATATATGCCAGTCTTTAGTTCATTAGGGTAGCTGAGTCATGTCCAAGATGTACTACCAAAAGCAATATTGGATCACAGAATTAACCTTATTGCGTCACTGAGTTTGGAGATTGCCTCGATTAGATATCGGCTAAGAGTAAAAAAATCAGAGTTAACTGAATTCTTTGGTGTGACTATTGCAAAGAGCTCTGATCCAGAAGCTGCCCCCCACCAGTGCCATCTACAGCCCCGCGAGGTCAGACCGGCTTTAGTCCAGATTCCGTGGGAGTCCACATGCGACACTCGCTGGCTTCGGACCTAAAGTATCTGCAGGGAAAATCGTTCCTGAGGGCAGCCTCCGAGGGAGGGTGGGCAGCCGGACAGACGCCCAGGTTTGCATATGGCAGGAGATAAGTCCGAGAGGCAAAGCATTCCCAGGGCAGAATCAAGGTCCTAAAGCTCGACTCAAACGGAGACCCCGCTGGCAAAGGAACGCAGCCCCGTGACCAGGAGTCCATAATGGGCCGTATGCAGCAGGTGACGCGCCCAGCGATCTACGCGCGGGCTGGAGACCGATTGTCACTGTAGAGCCCGCGAGAGGGGCGGGGCATGGTGGTCTCCCACGGCGCTTGCGCAGAGAGCGGGTTTCCAGGGCCAGGTAAGGGGAAGTGGTAACCAGCGCCGAGCGGGCCCATTGCGTGCGCAAGCGCACTCAGCAACGTCCGGCTTCCGGTACCCCGTCCTCGCAGACCTCGGGGCGGGGCCTCGGGGCGGGGCCTGGGGCGGGACTAAATGCGGAGGAAAGGACAGCCTGTCACTACACACTCGCTGCCGTTGCTGTCGCCCCCGATTCCGAACTGCAGCGAAAGTCATGTTACCCAATACCGGGTAAGGGGATGGGGAGCCGCGGGGAAAGACCGGGCCGCGCGGAGTGCGCCTTAGTGGATGGCCCGAGGGCCCGGCGGCGGCCGCGGTGGTGGGAGGGTTTATGAAGCTGCCCGTCGCGCTCCGGAATGCTGGATCGCGCTGGACCCAGTGTTCCTAGAATTGCGATAACGCTTGAAAAGTAACCCAAAGTTGTGTACTTCAGGGTGGCAGCTATATATATAAACTTTTTCCGCAGGTAAAGTGTCCTGAGTGGGTTCCCCGCCGCCCGTAGGGCCGGCCCCATCTTGGCTTGAGCAATAGCTGAAGGCATGAAAGTTTTAGGTGAAAGGTCATTGGCACACTTGTGCGCCCAATGCGTTGTTCTCTTGGGCAGAAGGCTCAATTCTGGAATAATAAAATAATGGAATATTTAAAAAGTGATTTTCAAATTAGTAACAAATAAAACTAATCTTATAGATATTTTGGTCCAGGGATTTTTTTTCGCTTTAAAAAGATTTTAATTGTGGTAAAATACACAATAAAATTTGCCATCTTAACCATTTTTAAGTGTGTAGTTCAGTAGTTAGTATATTCAGCCCTAACCGGTTTGGCTCAGTGGATTGATGGTCCCAGTGTGAACTGAAGGATCCAGTTTTCGATTTCATTTAAGGGCTTGTACTTCAGTTGCAAGTTGGGACCCCTGACCTTGTAGGGGCTCGTAGAGGAGGCAACCAATCTGCTTCTTTCTCTCTGTCTCTACTCCCTTCCACTCTCTCTAAAAATCAATGGAAAAATATCTTGGGTGAGGATTAACAACATCATATACAAAAAGTATATTCATAGTGTTGTGCAACCAATCTTTAGAACTTTTTCAACTTAGAAAACTCAATACCCATTTAAACAACTTCCCCCCTTCCCCAGCGCCTGGCAACCCACCATTCTGCTTTGTTTCTATAAAGTATGGGTGTATTGAGCTAAGGAGCATGTCCATTATGTGATTTGCTTGAAACATGCAAACACATGACCAAAAGATTTAAACAGCTCAAAAGTGAGTTTTTGTCATCCTTAACTAACAATTCTGTTACCCTCTGGTATTTTCCCAAAAATATTCTGTGCATTTATAAATATACTAGAGACCTGATGCATGGTGGGGGGGTCCCTCAGCCCAGCCTGTGCCCTTTTGCATCCAGGAGCCCTGGGGGGATGTCCCAACTGACAGCTTAGGCCCACTCCCCGCTCCCCCTCCCCCCTTAATCTGGCAGTTGGACATTCTTAGCGCTGCCTTGGAGGCAAGAGAAGCTCCCACCACCACCGCTGTGCTCACCAGCCATCAGTCCGGCTTCTGGCTGGGCAGCTCCTGCTTTGAGCATCTACCCCCCTGGTGGTCAGTGTGCATCATAGCGACCGGTTGTTCCGCCATTCAGTCGATTTGCATATTACCCTTTTATTATATAGGGTAGGATAGGATTTTGTATATTACCCTAAACACACACACACCACATTTTTAAAAATTATTAAATTTATTGGGTTGACATTGGTTAATAAGATTATACTAGAGGCCCAGTGCATGAAATTCGTGCACTTGGGGGGGGGGCGCCCTCAGCCCGATCTGCCACCGCCGCTGTGCTCGCCAGCTTTGAGCCAGGCTTCTGGCTGAGTGGCGCTCCCCCTGTGGAAGTGCACTGACCACCAGGGGGCAGCTCCTGTGTTGAGCGATTGCCCCCTGGTGGTCAGTATGCATCATAGCAACCGGTCACTCCACCATTTGGTCAATTTGCACATTAGCCTTTTATTATAGAGGATAAGTTTTAAGTGTACTGTTCTATAATGCATCCTCTGTAGATTGCATTGCATACACAACTTTTAATGGTAGCAAACTCTCTTCTGGGCCTTGCTATTTGTACCTATATGTCTTAGACACACATTTTCAATACATATAACTCTTCTTTCCTTTTTAAAAAAATATATTTTTATTGATTTTAGAGAGAGGAATGGAGAGGGAGA